ATACATCCGCAAAGTATCTTTTCATTGTCTATATGCAATAATGTCCAAACTTGCTCTAAGTTGTCATCATTTAACATTTTATCAGAAGCTGTAACAGATTTAATATTTTCTTTGACATATATGCATACTCCCCCTCCTCGTCTACCTATTCGATCTTTGCGAAATATATAATAACCGGGAACATTACTTAATGACATTTCATTAAACCATGTTTCACTGATAAAAAGTATCTTTGGGTGAGATGTGACTATTTCAGCAATTCATTGTATTTACAATTTAACGATGTAGCATTTGTATACTAACATGATAAGAAATTTTCTGTTACGTCATTATTATTAATTATTAGTTTTTTTGTATTTTCAGATAATACGTTTATTGATTCAATTGATTTTGACTCGTAGTTTATTTTTTTAAATACTTTGTTGATGGTTTTTTTGTTCCTGTCTGTTATTTTTTGATAATCGATTTTGTTAATCTTATAGTTTTTTGGTAATTGCTATACAGTGATTTTCACTACTCGATCATATCTGATACTGAAATAATAGTTATTTTCATTTTTTTGTTTTCTTTCAGTGTTCATTCGGTGACATTCTTCTCTTAAGAGTTTTGCTTTATGTCTTTCTGCTTCTGTAAGATCAGGATTTATGAATACTTTTGAGAACGAGTCGTCGTCTTTTAATACTTTTGATGACTTTAAAACTTTCTTTCATGTTTATCTTTTGAGACAACAACAAAAGGTGGTTGATTTTCGTTTCTTGTTTTTAACTTGATAATGTGTTCTATATTAACATTTGTATCAATTTTGTTAAAAATATCTTATCTTAAAAATAACTTATCACATTTTTTTTATCCTCGTCAAATGCATTATCTTTGTTTTTATTAGTAGATGCTGCTAAACCAAAAATAATTACATTTTTTTCTCGCATTTTTCGTTCATTCAATTCTTTGGCTACTGCATTAATCAGGTTGAGTTGATTTATTGATTTTCTCTTCTGTTTACCTTTTACAACATCAGTCCAAAGCTCCTCATTACCTCTTACATCATTACAATTTTTATCTTCTAACATTTTTATTAATTCTTCTATTTGTTTGTTTTTTTCTGTTATTTGGTCGTCTTTAGCTTTGATTGCTTTTTCTAAAGCTGATACTCTTTTTTCTAGAGCCTCAAAGTCAGCTTTTAATACCATAATATTAAAAAAATTTAAATTTTTCTCCTCCTCAAAACACGTCTTATTCGCGTTAGAAGCGGAAATTTCTTCTTTTATAAAATATTATTTTATAAGTAAATTTTATTTGTATTTGGTTGCCTATTACTTTTAAGTAATTCTTTTTCATATAAATTTTTTTTTTTACAATTACGGTAATATAATATTTTTTTTATAAATTATTTTTATATGTAAATGTAAATTACATTTTGAGGAATTATTAAATTATGTAATGTAATTTGAAAAAGTAAATAATATTTATATGTAAAAGTAAATTGCTTTTTTATGAGACTTACTTTTACTTGTAAAAGTAAATTACTTTTTGATGTAATCTGTTTTTACATAAGTTACTTTTGAAAGTAGAAAAACTTACTTTATAAAGTAAAAGTCGTTTCATAAAAATTAATTACTTTTTTGTAAATGTAAATTCAATTTGAACGGTGACAATTACTTACATAATAAACTTTTTCAAAAAAATTTACTTAGTCGTGTAAGTAAAAAAAAGTAAGTAAAAGTGCCATCCCTACACTAGAGCCAAGCCATTCAGTGTGATGAACATTAAAGTCACCGACAACTACGATATTGCCTGATGGATAAAGAGAGAGGGCTTGGTCAATATGATCAGAAATAACATCAAGAAGAGTACAGTCTTGAGATGAAGGAAAGTGATATAGAACAAAGAGAAAGGTGATAGAGAGAAGTGGTGCTAAGCGAAAGCACATAAAAGAGAAGTTTGTGGATTCAAACCTAGTTTCCCGACAAATGGGTGAATTCTTATGAATGTAAGTGCCCAGGCCAAGCATGTGAGTATTGGAATCTTTATGAATTAAAGGAAGATAACCATCAACACTAAGATCACAAGATGAGACAGCTGAACTCAAATTAATCTCACAGAGAGCAAGTAGGTTTGGTGAACTTTGCAAGAGATAAGACTCAACAGAAGAAATGTTTCTTCGAAGACTACGAATATTAGTGAATGATAGGTTTAGCGAACTTGGTGATGACAGTGGTTTTTTGTGTTTTATAGTTTTTGTTACTTTATTCATTTTTAAATTTGTTAAAGAACTTGACTCGAAAAGTAGATAGTACTCAGTACACTGTTTAATAGCCCAAGCAATTACGTCATTACTATTAATAAACCCTAAGCCGTAACAAAGGGCTCTGATATGGCCTTGGTAATGCACACCAAAAGTACAAGCAGGGACACCATCCATTCGCAACATGGCACTGTTAGTACTTTGATATTTTACAGCTGTTGATGGAATCAGCCTCTCTGAAAGCCACCACAGAGTTCGGGAAACCTGACTACCAGCCGGCCTCAGAACCATAAAACTGAGTTTTAGAGCTGTACCCTCATTAGGAGATAATAGAATGAGTTGCCTAGTCATAAAAACAGAGACACAAGCAAAACCCATGCATCGAGTCAAGAAGATCCAGCATTCAACATCCTAAACTGGAAACAATGTATTAAAAATACATTTGCGCCAGCCTAATAGATGAAAAAGGGGTGCAAGGCTGGTCAACGGATAGAATCTGTTTACCCCTTAAGTCTTTGCCTAGGAGGCCTTCTACAAAACAGCAGCTGGATGCATTTAACATCTGCCCAAGATGAGTATTTTTATCGAGACACCATCTCTAAACTTTTGTAATTTAAAATATTTTTCAACGAAATTTAAATTCTGTCGATAAATTTAAATTTAGTTTTAGATCGTTAAGTTAAAAATTTTACTACATAAGTGCTATTTATATACAGGGGTTTTTGTTGACAGGTCTCCGCCATCCCAATATTTTACAAGGTCTCGTCATTTGGCATAGGTATAAACATACTTAAGTTTGGAGTTTTCACAATAAAAAAGCAATAGGGCATAATATTTGCTGCTCCCCTATATTACCCCACCCCCTCTAATTACGGGGTATGGGTAGCCTACACTCGGCACTGAGTTTTAAGCTTTGTTTTCAATACTACTCTTCTCGCGTGACTTGCTTTTTACGGACTTACTAAAGAGGAGAGCTTGAAAAAAATGTCATTAAACAAAATAAGTAAATTAGGACTTTACTGGAAATCGAACTCCGCTGTCACTGCCATAACATTATCCACTCAGCCAAACGATCACTCCCTCATTTCAAGATTTAATTTTATTTAAATTTATATTTGCATATACTTAATTATTTTATTTAAATTGGGATCCTTTACCGCTAACAAAGGGCTTTGGGGTCGTATAAATATTTTATACGTTTTTCACCCCTACTTTTTTTTTTTTTAATATAAAAATTTATTGAAATAAAAAAGATGGAGGAGGTACCCTAGATACTTTTAAAGTATCTAGGGTATCTCCTCCACCTTTTTTTTTTCAATTGTGAGGGGTATATGAAAAATGTCCGTACTTTTTAAGGGGAGTAGGGACTTAAAAGTAAGCATGGCAACAGGGGGAGGAGGTGTCAAAATTCAGAATTTTTAGCGTACGTACTTTATGGATGACCCCTAAGTTGCGGGGTTCCCGATAGATCTATCTTAGGACCATTATTATTTCTAGTGTATATAAACGACTTATTTTTAGCATCTAAAAAATTATATCTTATATTGTTTGCTGACAATTCCAATTTGTTTTATTCACTCAAAGATATAAAAAAACCTTTTCAAAATTTTTAATGAAGAATTATCTAAAGTAAATGAATGGTTTATAAGTAACCGCCTTTCACTAAATGTAGATAAAACTAAATTCATCTTGTTCCACAAACCAAATAAAGTTGATAATATTCCACTTAAACTGCCAATTCTTTTATTCAATAAAACAGATGTAAAAAGAAAACCTAGTGTTAACTTTTTAGGAGTAGTTCTTGATGAAAACTTGTCATGGAAGTTCCACATTCAATCCATTAAAAGTAAAATCTCTTATAGTATTTCTATACTTTATAAAACAAAACCATTTTTAAATACTAGAGCTCTATTAAAAATTTATTTTTCATTTATTCACAGCTATCTTTCTTACTGCAACATTGCATGGGGAAGTACGAATTATGGATAACTCAAAAAACTTTATAGTAAACAAATGCATGTTTGTAGGATTATGTTTGGGACAAACAAAACTGTGTATTACAAACCACTATTAAATCGTCTCAAGGCCTTTAATATTTATAAACTAAACATTTACCAAATATTACTTTTCATGTTTAAAATGACACATGGAATATCTCCACTTATATTTCAATTTTATTTTAGTGAAATATCTCATAAGTATCCAACAAAGTTTTCAGAAAATAACTTTATTGTTCCGAGAATTAATTTAAAAATATGTTCTTATCGAATTCAATATCGAGGATCTTTTTTATGGAAAAATTTTATTAAAATGTTCAATAAAGGACACAACTCACTAGAAAAATTTAAAACAGTTTCTAAAAGAATCTTATTAAATTAGATTTCAATACAATAGAATTGAAATATTTTTTTAAAATGGTAATTTTAAAATAGAAAAAACGTTTCCATTAGCACTAAATAGATATTGTTAAACATGTATCAAATATATTTGTATTAGTATACAAAACTTTCATTATTTTTAAATCAATATGAGGGAGTTGCAATTTTTAAAATGCTATAGCATTTTAAAAATTGCAATTATTGTATGAGTTTTGAAATTTATTGATGAATATAAACTTGGTTGAGAATAGTAGAAAAAATATTTTATCAACTTGTTGCTCTCACGTTTAGGGGAGGTGTAGCTAAAATTTTGGGGCGTTTTTGTTCCCAGGCTCCAATCATTGCAATTTACGTATGGTCAATACATGAAACTTGATATGTATATGTATCATTTTTTCTCAATAAATAACAAAAAAAAAATTATTTTTTTATACTTTTTCGCTTTTTAAAAAAGGATCTGTTATTTCCAAATAACAAATTTATTTTGTCTTTTTTTATTTTGGATGATATTTTGGTCCGTTTCCAGTTAATATTTAAGTCTAGCATCTCTTGTTTGTTTCCTAAAATAAAAAGTAAAGATTTTTCTTATTTACGTGATTATAAACAAAAACTTCATAAGAAACAGTTATAACAAAATATGAACCTATTTTAATTAGAGATTAGTATTTAATAGAAGTAAGTACGCTAAAATTTCAATGATATATATGAAAGTCCTAAATCTTTTTGAAATATCATCACTTATAATAATTATTTGTTACAATAATTTATCTTTAGTTATTGATATAACAACTATCTCTTTCCTTTAAAATTTTTTAACGAGTTTAAAATATACGGAAAACTAATTAAATGAATGAAGAAAACATATACTGCTTCCGAATTTTTATAAGTTTACAAAGTTTAACTCGGCATTTCAAGGACCACAAATATAGAATAACAAAGATAAACAAAATCTTTGGTTTCTCTTTGTTATTTTCTCTTCTGGTGATACTGATTTTCTGTCAATTTTCTGCTTCAGTTTATTTATTAGCCTCTTCCAGCCAGCCAGCACTATTAACTTTCTCTTCTGACTCAAACAACAAGAAATAGTTAGATTATAAGGTGTTTCACTATGCTGTGTCCAAATAACGTTAAAATCAACAAAAAATAGCAAGATTATGGTGTTTTACTATGCTGTATTCAAAAAACTCATAAAAACTACAAACTTTCAAACGGGGTAAAAGATTCACTAAGAGTTGGCAGGTCGTCAAAATTTAATTCTTGAAATAAAAGCTAATTGTATCGAAGGGTAAGGGAAGATTCAAAAATTAACTACCAAGAACTTCAGCTAATTTTAGTAATAAAGCTGGTTACGTTAGTGTTAGTTATAGCGTTTTTAACTATAGTCTTCATGAAAAAGGTATTAGTTATTGTCTTGCTGATAGAAAACCGTTTTTAAGGGTTTTCAACGAAAAGATGAGATTAAAAGATGGTTAGGCTTCACTGGTCAATAGAAGATTGGTCTAAGGTTATTTTTAATAATGAATCAAGTTTTGAGGTGGTTAATGATAAATCAAGAATTATGGGTAAAAGATTAGCTTCAGAAAAATCAAAGGAAAGATTTTGTGTATCAAGAGTACAAGACGGTGGCGGCTCGATTGGTTTATGGGATGCTTTTTTCTTGTGGGATTTTAAATATTTATAGAGGGAGAATTAATTAGTATAGTTACAAAGAGTCTTTGGAATAACTAATGCTTTAGATAGGTTAAAGAAATAATAAACTTCTTGTTTAGTCTATGTTAACCTTATAAACTAATAGAAATATAGATTAATAAGAAATTTATTGTTTCTTATTTATTTTACTATATTTTGAAAATAACGTAAAAAAGAATTTGCTAAATACCTTTTTGTGTTAATGAGGCTTTCCGAGCTTCAGTTGTCATTAATTTATTTGAAATAGGCAGAGTAGACCTAAGTTTTTTAACATGTTTTCCAGATATAAAGTGATATGATGATAAATCGTAATAGTTACTGTTTTCAACAGAGCTAATTTTATCTTCGAGTTTTTTTTTGGGTTTGGAAACACTTGGAAGAGTTTCAGGTTTTTCAATTTTGAGAGCCAACTCTAAAATTAGAAGCAAAAAACTACATATAAAAACAATTGGATGAATAGAGTAAGTTTTTTTGATATTTACATATTTTTAAAGTGAAGCTGCTCATTGTTAAAATTAAAAAGAAATCAATTAAAAAGGAGTAGAAAACCAATTTATATATGGAAAATAATAATATAAAAAAGTAGATCTATTTATTACTCAATATTGGAACCACTAAGTCTACCCTTTTAATTGCAGAAAACCTCAGTGTCTTGTTGATATCGTTTTGAAATACATATCTAATTTCAAAACCACAATGGGCACTATGTTTGCATAAATTTTTTCATTACAGATTTTAAACCATTTTTAATTGAAATGAGTGTTTTGCAATAATATTCAACTGAAGTTCTTGACATTGGTGTTGATGAAATTGATTATGAATGCTGTGCTGAAGATGATATGAAAATGTGCCAAAGATGATACGAAAATGTGCCGAAGATGATATAATCCAGGTTATAAGAATAATCAATCCTTCTCGTGATGCTCTAGTGCTGCGTCTTCAAATCTTTTTGTTATTTTCAGTTTTGTTATTTTAAGTCAATATAGGATTTATTGAATGAAACTAAACCTGTTTTTTTGAAAGCGCTGACTACGTGTGTTTTGGTGAAGCACTTGCCACTTTCATAAAAACTTTTAAATCAACTTGGAAAATTAGCTTAAGCAATATTTTTGCATTTTGATAATTCATAATATGATTTTGAAAACGTATTTCCAGATATGTTTAACAAGACATGTAATACATTGTTGCAAACATGTTGCAAAAGGTTCTTACTATTACTCTATCTTCCATTAGGAAAATCAACTCGTTGATTTTCCTAATTTTGAATGGAAACATAGATCATCCTAGTCATATTTTAAAAATCCGGAAAATTCTAATTTAATTCTAATTTTTTTTTTGACATTTTTCATTATTTTTCTATGAGTGATGAGTGAAAAAGCTTAAAAAATCAATATATTACAAAAATATATACTTCAACTTGCATGTATTGAAAATGTTTTGGATATCCGGAAAAACTAAAAGTTGAAAAAAATATCCAGAATTCAGAAATATCCGGAAAAAGATAATCCCTGAATGGAAGATCATTATAGACTATTGCCCCAATAGTAATAATTTCTAATGGAAGATCATTATAGACTATATTTGTTTTAGTTCAAAATAAAACCAAGTTTTGTTTTAAACTAAAACAAATAGTAATTAAATTAGTAATAAAAAATCTAATTAATTAAAAATAAGTAAGTAAAAAAAAAAAGTAAATTTAGATAAAAGCTTTAAATTTTAATTCAAAACGGTAAAATTACCAGAGCGCGAAATACTTTCATCTTTTATTAGGCTATTCTCGTTTGACAATGGATTTTGTTTGTGTTTATTTCTTTTATTCGGAGAAACGCAATATAACTTTTTACTTTGGAAAAAACTCTCCACTTAAATAAAAAATAGTTAAAATAAATAATTAAATATTAAAGTTGTTAAAAAAACATGAAAATAAACCATTAAAATATGGAGAACAATAGTTGTTTTACATCTTATGTCAGTTTTTGCGTCAAGCCTGACTGGTTGACTGAATTCATGTAAGGTTTCTTTTGTTGTGTTCGGCTTTTGGATTTTTATAATACTCATAGGATTGTTAGCAGTTTTTGGAGGAACATTAATCATTTTTTTTATAGATAGGCTGAATAGAAAATTGTTTTTGTTTCCACGCGAGTGAAGCAGCTTTTGCGTAGCAGTTGGCGTACTGGGTTTATTAGACAACTTTGAAGCTTTTTCTAACAAGCATACACGTTGTTGAGCTAAAAAGTATTTTTTTTAAATTTAGATTAAAAAGTTTATAAAACAAAACCTTAAATTTTAATCACTTACAAAAAACTTCTTGGTTTTGGTCCAATGTTTTCAAATCGGTTTGTACATTTTTAGCAGTCTTTAAATCAGGTTTTCCAACGTAATAATCTTTCTCTCCATCGTGCGAAACCAACATGACGCTCTAGATTTATTAGATGTTAAATAAAAAATTCTAAATTATTGGCGCATAACTAATAAAAACTCTAAATTATTGACGCATTTGTGTGGAATTGAAAATGGGTAGAACGTGTCTGATATTAATATTTGTAAAGGCGCTGGATAAAGTTAAGAATTTTGTGGAAAAAAAAATTTTTTCCAAATTTTTTTTGATATACTTTTATAATTATGAAGAATAAATTTATTGACATAAATGAGTTTTTTTATTTGTTTTTGCATTAACAGTACCTTATTGGAATTACTTTGTGGCAGCAACCATGGATGTTGAAATATATCTTGTAAGGTTGATCTTTTATTTGTACTTTGCGTTAAAATTTTGCATATCAAATCTTTACACTCTACATTAAAACGTAAAAAAAAAAAAAAATTCGAAAGATTTAAATAACATATTAAATTTAAATAGTATCATTATAATAATTAACAATCAAATGAAATATTCCGTTTGGATATAATTAGCATAAATTGAGAAATACTTAACAAATTCGTTCTAAATTTTTTTTAGGTAGTAAGTAACCTGGATCATAGCCTGAATCTTCTATTGACTTTTTTCAATGCTGCTATCCATTTCTTTCAAGTTCATTGACATTTTTTGCTGAACTTTTGCTTTTCAACAAGATTCCTTTTACAAGTGCTCGGTAACTTTCAATTAAGCGCTGCTCGAAATAGTTTGATGATATGCAACTTTCGGGACAATTTCGATGCACTACTCCGTAGTCCTCTGGGAGTAGTGGGTCGATTCCAAAACAGGCCAAAAGACTGCCTTGCAGTGTTTGTTAACAAATGGAAAATTCTGAAGACACTCGTTGATGTACAAATCAGAAATCAAAGAATTTTGAGTGCAAATGCAGCACTTTTAAGTCCCCAAGAGTAAGCCGCTTGTCACACGAGGAGCAAAAATTTATGTCTGAATATATTTAGGGGAAAGGCGCCTATGATGGCATAGTTAATTTTGAAGCTTCATTATTCAGTATGCTGAAGACCAAGAACAAAAGTTTTGATATAGATACATTTTTTCTTACATCTAGAACAATAATAACCCTAGGAGTTTTATTTTTATTTTATTTTTAGTTTTGTTTTTTTATAAGTTATTCTTATTTTGAAAAAAAAGTACAAGTATGTCATCATAGGCAATTACTGCTCCTAAGCTGGCATAGGAAGGATAGGGCTGGTTAGCATCAAGGGAAACTTGACAATTTCATTTAACCTCAGAGTCTTCCCTTAGAAATGGCAGAAATTACGCGTAATCATCCTAATTTACCCTTTCATGCTATACAGCAGCAGTGTAGAATCTCGCGCATGCGCATAAGAGATATTGCGTTTTATGTGTTTTTTGAACCAAAAAACATTTAGTGAAGTAAAAATTCCTTTTTACTTCACTAAAAAAATGTTGCTTTTATAAAGAAAAAAAAGATTCTTCAACTCGTCAATATTGCAACACCTAACTCGTCAGTATGCCATTATAGGAAGAAGTCATCATTTTTATTTAAACAAGCTATGTTTACCTTGCTCAAAAGATAAAATTGAAATAAATATTTCACTAAATGCACAAAACTTGAAAATAAAATGCATGAAAATTTTATTTCTACGCAGTTAGTAATAAAATCACAATCTTAAATATATATAATGGTATTAAAATGACAACAGCACATCACAAAATTAACTTTTGTTAATTACAAAAACAATATTTGTGCACAAGGGACGTATTTTCACTAAAACTAATGTAAATCCAGTATAGGCATGTAGGCCTAATCACTTTTTTGCCGTAACCAATATTTATGAAAATATAACCGGTATGCCATCATAGGCACTTTTCCCCTATATATGTTGATGACATAGACACCTTTTGACAGATAACAATATTGACGGCCATGCAACAATGTAAAATTATTTTTGCAGTACATTTTGTCGTCTTTAATAATAGATAAATTTTCTTGGTCGAAAAATTTGACGAGCTTCCTTGCGCGACAAATTTCTTTTAATTTTCAATTAATTGATCGCTTGGTTTTTTTTTTCAAACTCTTGCTCTTAAGTGCTATTCTGTTAAAAAAAAAGGACTTTATTTGAACTGGTTAAAATTTGGCAAGATCTCTTTAGCATTAGTGAAGGTTTCTTAACCGAATGATTAAAATCACTTTATTTTTGTCAATCAAACCATTAATCCTTCTATCACCTCTTTTTCATTTGATAGTTTAAGTTTCATTGTATCTCCTTAATATGTCTCTTATTGAAAATTTAGCTACTTTTGGTAATTTTGCAATTTTTGAACGCGAGTAGGTTATATATATATATATATATATATATATATATATATATATATATATATATATATATATATATATATATATATATATATATATATATATATATATATATATATATATATATATATATATTAAACAACTTTGCTTCCAACAAGACTGCAAGCAACCACAAATTAGAGTTGAAAGTTACTGGAAGAGAAAAGATCAAGATTGTAGAGCAAGATTACGATTGACAGACAACTTAAGAGATTGTAAATTATATGAATCAGGAAAGCAAGATGAATAAAGCGAATTCCAAAGTACTAATGTTCCAGGAAAAAAATTAGATAAATAAGAGTTTTTAGAGCACTTAGAAACATTCACAGTAAAATGATGAAACTTAATTGAATGACGAGTAACACAAGAATGAATTTTAGTAGATAGCACAAGAGACGCTAGCTCTTTAGAGCAGTGCCCATTATAGTATTTTTAGAAAAGAGAAAGAGAAGCAACATTACGACGATGTGAAAATGGTTGAAGTTTGGCTGCATAAGAAGGTACAACTATGTTTACAATGTGTTTTTGCACCTAAAAGAGAAAGGGCATCATTAGAAGATCCGCCCCAGATATGGCAACAGTATTCCATACAAGGCCGGATTCGAGATTTATAGAGATAGAGAAAAGAATCCGTAATAAGAAAGTGTCGAGTTTGATAAAGAGATGCAACTTTAGCAGATGCTAATTTTGGATTTGATGTAGGGTTTCCAAGAAAGATTAGAAATAAGAGTTAATCCTAGAAGATGCAGGGTAAATGACTCATCGAGTACATTACCGTTCGATCTGAATTAAAGTTCATCAGCTACTTTGAGTCCCATGTTGCATCAAAAGTAAGATCCTTTTTAAGCTCAAATTCCCCCTCCAAGCAATTAGAGATTGTTGGCTTCTGATTATGACAACAATAGTTGGTAGTATCATCAGCGAACAATGCCACCTTCGACGTGAGATAATCTGGAAGATCGTTAATGTAAATTAAAAAGAGTATATGGCTAAGTGCAGAACCTTGAGGAACCCCTGAGGTTACAGATTAAGAAGACGAATGCTGTCCATTGAGAACAACTTTTATACTACAATTGTAAAGAAAGAATTCAATAATCTTAAAAATGTTACTAGATACACCGTTATAAGAAAGCTTATGGAGAAGACCAGTATGCCAAACTTTATCAAAAGCTTTAGAAATGTCAATGTGCGATGGCTTTAACTCTCCACCTTTATCTAATGCACGATAAAACCTATCGGTTATTACTGTTAGCAAATCAGCTGTAGAACGAGAAGATTGAAATCCATATTGATGATCAGAAAATTATTAGATTCAAGATAAAAGATTAAGTGTTTGTTAATTAGATATTCAAAAACCTTGCTTATGATAGGAAGAAAACTAATGGAACGGTAGTTAGATGAATAAAATTGCTCTCGAGAATTTTTGAAAATAGGGATAACAGATGCTGCTTTCCAGCATGCTGGAAAACTCTGTTAAGCACTTGTTGAATAGTTTTGAAAGTATAGACGACAGCTCCGGAGAACACTTCTGTAAAATCACTTTTGATACAAAAGCTGGAGTGATACGAATGTCCAGCAATGGGTCAACCTGTTTGACGGCTATATCAGTTAAAACGCAGCTGGTGGAATAAAGAGATGATATTGATGAAGAGTTCTTAGCAAACAAATCAGCTTTGCCTTTTGGTGATGTGACAAAGTCTAAACAATACAAGAGAGATGGAATTACAGATTTGCCCTTATTGTTGATACTATTAAAGATTTATTATTTTTGATACCATTAAAGCCTAATTTTTGTGATGAAATACGAGATTTCATGACCTAAGAATAGCGGATTTTTGGCTTTAGAAACAACCTTTTTACAGTGGTTTCTAGCAGTAATAAACAGATGTCTGTTTTCAGGAGAATTGTTTTGCTGATAGATATGGAAGTAACGGTTTCAATTGGCAATGGCAGCACAATGTGAGGAAAACCATGGAGAAGAGTGAGGCTTAACCTGAAATCGTTGAGAGGGAATAAATATTCCATGCTAGCCTGAATCCACAAAGTTATGTAAGAAGCACATTTGTCAACAGAAAGACGAAAGATTTCTACCAAGGGCCATCACAAAGAAAATCATGGAAAGAGTCCCATTCAGCTTTAATGTAGTTGTAAGAGGTACAATGATAGAGGGATTCAGATGATGAAGAGAATGAGTCTTTAGTTTAAGATAGATCAAACTGTGATCAGCAGCACCTAAGGGTGAATGTGGAGAAACTGAGCACTGACTATGGTCAGAAACTAGACATAAGTCGAGTAGAGAAGGTAAATGATTTGGGTAGTCTGGAAAGCTAGATGGAAAGTTGACTATTTGAGTTATGGATTAAGAATAGCAAAAGTTGTGGGCTTTAATGCCTGCAGAGTCACTGACACTAGAGCCGAGCCATTCAGTGCAATGAGCATTAAAGACACTGACAACAACATTATTAGCTGATGGATAAAGAAAGGGGGCTTAGTCAATATAATCAGAAATAATATCAAGAAGAGTGCAGTCTTGAGATGAAGGATAGCGAAATAGTACAAAGAGGAAGGCGATAGAGTGAAGTGGTGTTAAACGAAAGCACTTCAAAGAGTAGTATGTAGATTCAAACCCAATTTCCTGACAATTGGGTGAATTCTTACGAATATGAATGCCCTGACCAAGCACGTGACTATTGGATTCTTTACGAATTAAAGGAAGATAACTATCAACACTAAGATCACAAGATGAGACAGCTGAACTCAAAATAGTCTTACAAAGAGCAAGTAGGTTTGGTGAATTTTGCAAGAAATAAGACTCAACAGAAGAAAAGTTACTTTAAAGACCACGAATATTAGTGAATGATAGGTTCACAAAAAAACATTATCATTACCAAAACTTGGTGATGACAATAGTTTTTTGTGTTTTATAGTTATTGGTACTTTATTTATTTAAAAATTTGTTAAAGAACTTGACTCGAAGCTTAGATAGTACTCAGTACACTGTTTAATAGCCCAAGCAATCGCTTCAATACTAGTAATAAACCCTAAACTGTAAAAAAGGGCTCCAAATGTGGCCTTGGCAATGCACAGCAAAGGTACAAACAGGTACACCATCCATGCGTTACATGGCACTGTTAATACTTTGATTCGCCAGCCTAATAGAGCATATATAATGTATCAAAAAATCAAATTGCACTTGATTTTAAAATACTGATATTTTATATATATGCATATGTATAAATTGAAATTGCCATCTCAATTGAAATTGCCACCATTTTAATTGGATATTAAGGTAAGTTTCCACTCATCTGCTTTTCACCTGAACGGAAAAAAGAAGGGAAAAATAATCACGTGGACATGCATAGTATAAGTTTTAATTTTTCCAAAGGAAAACTACGTATGCTCGAGTAAAAAAGGTTAAATAATCTTCTACTTCTATTTTTCTCTTCCCTATCCCGTTCCCGTAGAAAAACGGATAAGTGGAAATTCACCTTTAACAATTTCGAGACTTTTGCGAGATTTACGGGATTTTTTTGAAATTTGAAAGCAGGATAAGGGATCGTCCATAAATTGCGCCACGCTAAATTTCACTAATAAACAAAATAAAAAAGATTACAAGTTTTTCCTCGCAGAGCCTTTAGTTAAATAAGAAATAAAAACAGGTTATTAAGATTAATAAAAATTACCGAGTAAAAAAGGTTAAATAATCTTCTACTTCTGTTTTTTAAAATAAATTTTTAAAGTTGAGTATTTCATGAACGACTCCGTAACAAACGAGTTGAACGAGTTGAACGAATACAACAAACGAGTTGAACGAGTAGTATTTTATTGATAAATTTGATACCATTTTACCATCACATTAAAACTAGTTCTATCTGGTTTTATAAACTTTTATCAATGATGGAACTTATGTTTTTATCAATGTCAGATAGATGATATCTATGATGAGACTTATGTTTTTATCTATGATGGGACTCATATTTTAACGTTGTTAAGTAATGAATTAGTTTTTCATTTAACACATTCCAGGAAAGAAAAAAAATGATTTTTTAAAGCAAAAAAAATAAAAAACTATTTTGCATTTTTTTTAAATTAATAAATGGGTGAGTCCTAATAGGTTCGGGGACTGGAAAAAACTGAAAAATTAATGAGCACAACCTCCCCCCTCCTTTAACCCTCAGTTTATTCGGCAGGTGCTCAACGTAGTTTAAGCGAGTTAGTTAATTAATTAAGATTTTAATGAAATATTACGAATTTTTTTGTTAAAATCTTACCTTTGACAATCTGTACTTAGGTTTTAAATTAGTTAAATGAAAATTTGTTTTTGTTTAATACAACTACTTCTGCTTGTGTTTTAAAAAAAATTAAAGTTTTTTCTTTGTTTATACAGAATTTTAATTTTTTTTGAAGCTTCTTTTTTTTATTGATATATTTTAGGTGTCTTAAGATGCCTTAACGGTATTATTATCGAGCAACGCGGAAGAATAATTAAAAATAAGTTCACGCCTCCTTCCCTAACGATGTTATAAAACATCTCAGAGGTGGCGTTAAATCAGGGATTTCTAACTTCTGATTAAAACACGCTAACCACCGTGCTACGGCTGCTTTTGAGCTTCTTTAGGGTTTTGCTTAGTTAGTTTGCTTCAAACTGTTTTTGATAAAATTAAAAAATGTCTTTAATTCGGACATGATTATAGATTGTAAGAGCTAGAATTTTTCAAAGTGTTTATAAACCTATAAATTTCCTAAAAAGCATGTCTTTTTTTACTCAAAGTTACAATGTTCTCTACTTAGTAAGTAAAAGTAAATAAAAAAACTATATGCTGGTAGTAACAGCTTTTTTTCTTTGCAATAGTTAAAATAATTCTAGCACCAAGCAAAGTTTTCACTTAAAATTACCATCAAAGAACTTGAGATTTCAACGGTCTGAAAATTGAAGGTAAAGTTAAGATTCCATAATATACCACAATTGAATTATTTAAAGTTATATAACATAAAATTTTGATAAGCATATTACATTTTATAAGATTGCTTTTATTCTACAGTAAGATCCATGATGGTAGATCCAAAGATGGTAGATCTATGATGGTAGATCCAAAGATGGTAGATCTATGATGGTAGATCCAAAGATGGTAGTTTCCATTTAAACAATCTAATCACTTATCTTGTGGCTCAGATGTTTTACGGATGTCTTGAATCTTTAAACTAATAACCGACTGACAGCGGTTTGAAAAGCACCTTAACTACAATGAGCGAGAGAAAATAATACCAACGACTTTTGGATGTCGTAAATGTTAAAGCGTATGAACCAATTAATTTTAAAAGTTTTAAAAAATAGTGTCAAGTTCACTAAAATTGGTCTATAAATCAAAGGTCAAATGTTTGATTGTTTCGGTTTTAATTGTTTGTTAAAAATTCCATCAGCTTAACTATTATGAAATATTCACATTTATTTTTATTTGTACGTGTTACTAAAGTAGTTTCTAATAAAAAGTTCAATTTTACTAGAGGCAAAAATTACTACGATTCCAGTTGTATTAGGAACGTTTAAATTAGGAACGTTTGTTTTGTTTTTTATCTCGATTTTTATCGAAAAATGTCGATAATGACTCCCATTTTTACGATATTGGAGTTGCAATTAACCCACCCTTTGTATGTACTAACAATAATTACATAAATCTAATACCTTCGGACACTGACACTCGGCTCGAAAACCGTGGCTTTTCTTTAGTTTGTTCTATTAATGCGCATAAGTTGCGATCGTTATAAGGAAGCTTCCCATTGATCATAGCAAAAAGTATAACGCCTCTAAATATTTACATCAAAAATAATTTATATTGAAAATAAATTTATTCTCATTTAAAAAAGAATGAAACAACATAAAGCATGTTTAAATGCTAATCATAAGATCTTTATTAATGGCTCAATTTTAATAACAACACAATCACATTAAAGATTTAACATCATCAACAACTCAATCTCATTAATAATTTATGACATTATTTATCACAATTTAATCATTGGATTTATAAGTAAAACTATATTAATCCTTACAAACTCCAAATGTCAGCAATTTTTCCATCGTACTTTTCCGCTTGCAATATCTCTGGAGCAGCGTAGGCGTAACTACCACAAAAGGTTTCAAGAAGAACATTTTTGTTCGATGGAAAACGAGTGGCAAAACCAAAATCTTAATAAGGTATTGTTGAATTATATCACACAGTTATATAATGTTTTATCTAATGTTTTATAGAGTAAAACACCAAATTTTCCGTTATTTGTTGTTATTATTTTAAATTCCATTTTTTATCTCTCATTTTTTTTACTTTGCGTTCTTTTTTACTTCTGAAAAAAAAAATTTTAATATTTTTTTTTTTACTTTTACAATTAATTTTAGAACTGCAATTTAATACTTTAGTACTGCTCTTTAACATTTTAGCATTCCAACGGCGCCAAACATTTTTTGCAGGTGTTTTAAAAAAAATATTTTTAAAGGCTATAGTTATTGCGAAATCTTTTTTTTTACCTCTTTTTATAAGATAATCCTAAATATATGCAATCTTTAGACCTTAAATTTGTAAAAGTTAAAAATATACTTTTTATTGATTATCATTGTATGCTGTTTTCAATTTTTAGTAATACAATAGAAAATAAAAATAAATAAAAAATTTGCTTAAATATGCATGCACCGTAAGAAACAAGTTTTCAAACCTTAACAAAACAGTTTTAAAGAGAATGTGTTGACCCTCAAAAAAGAAGAGTAACGATTGACGTCTCATTATGTAAAACAGTTTAAAAAATTTCATAGACCTCCAAAGAAAAACTCTTGTTTGTAATTTGTAATAAACAAGCAATTTTAAAGTGACATTCTTGACAATGTCGCTGACATGACATGTTGCGTTTAAAATAAAAAAAAAAAATTTTATATATAAGACTATTTTCAATGCAGCGATTTTTTTGATGAAATTTGAAATTTATTAATGAGTTTTAATTTAAACTGAGATTAAACATTTTAGCCTTTTAATTGAAGTTCCCCAAAATTAATTATACAAAACGTCAACTAACCTAAGAAATAGCTAAGTTTTTTAAATCAGCTGCATTCTGCCGTTATTAAACCTATATAAGCAAAAACTGCATTCCATACATACCTGTTATTTTTATTATCTCTTTACCATCGCTTGCTTCTGCAATTAGAATATTTTCGCACTTGAGATCTCTAAACGATGCTTTTTTACAAACCTTATTTATAAGAAATAGAAAAAAAAAGTGTACATAAAAGTCATCATTTAAAATACCGGTGAACCATATTTCTTTTGTGACAATGTTTTACAGCTATTAAAAGTTGTTTAAAAAAGATCTTTGCTTTTTTTTCCCCAATCCCTGGTTTGTTGTTTTGTAGCTCTGTCGATCTTGAATTTATATATTCCAACAAATCTCCTTTGGACGCATATTCCATCACAAGATAAATTTGTCTTTCAGTTCGGAAAGTTTCATAAAGCTGAATCTGCCAAAAATGTAATAAATGATAATGAATTTACAAAGGAATGTTGAATTAAAAAAGAGGGCTTATAAAAACAGGTATTGGGCTTAAAGAAGATGTGAATAACTAAAATCCCCAAATTACTTAAAATTATTTAAACTAAATTATTTTTTAACTAAACTTCTATTTGCTTTATAAAAAGATTGAGTTTAATAATATTGTTTAAAATTATGTATAACTTCATTATGATATAAAGGATAAGTTAAGTATATATATAAAGATAGAGAGAGAAATGCGTAAAAAAATTAAAACTTTATATTTGTAAGTTTGCGTTATTATTATTATTATTGTTATTATTATTATTATTATTATTATTATTATTATTATTATTATTATTATTATTATTATTATTATTATATATATATATATATATATATATATATATATATATATATATATATATATATATATATATATATATATGTATATATATATATATATATATATATATATATATATATATATATATATATATATATATATATATATATATATATATATATATATATGTATGTATGTATATATATGTATATATATATATATATATATATATATATATACATATATATATATATATATATATATATATATATATATATATATATATATATATATATATATATATAATAAATTAGTAGAAAATCACTTAGCAAAATTTATTCTCATTTAACACTGTGTTTCATCAATAAAGACTCATCAGAAATGAATGATCAAATTAAAACTTCAATTTATACCAAAAATTAAATTACAGGTAGTCACATGTCTTAACTACTGCAACTTTACACACATTTGTGTAATTTGCTGACACTATTGTAAAAAGAATTCTTTAGAAATGATTACTTAAGCTTTTTTAAAAAATAATATATATATATATATATATATATATTTTTTTTTTTTTTTTTTTCAAAGGGGAGTTAACTAATGTAACTATTATTTGAGCTCACTTATTTTTATAGTTTTTTAGGAGAAACTTGTTTTCGTGCCTGCATTTAGAAATCAATTTCGATTTTTTGTTTAATAAACATTCTTGGTTTGTATGTGTAATTATTTCAAATTTTTCTTGTAGACATAGTTTGCATTTTTTGGAAATATTGTTATATGCAGGCACTGTTTTAAGGATGGACCAATTCAGTGTAAAATCGTCAATATTTTTATCTTTTAATTCCCATATATATTTTGACAGCATGGTGTCTTTTGAATACTTTTTATTTTTAAAGATTGCTTATGATTGGCAAAACGTTTTTATTCCATTTGATATTAATGATTTTTACCCCTCAATAACTGCAGATATTTTAGATAAAACAATTGAATTTGCAAAAAGCCACAAAGTTATTCCTGATGAAACAAATCGCATAATAAACATTGTAGAAAAACCTTACTTTATTTTAATAAGGAAACTTGGAAAAAGAAAATCATACATAACTGCTTTGATGTAACAATGGGCAGTTATGATGGAGCAGAAATTTGTGAATTAGTTGGATTATATATTTTAGATTTATTAAGTAAAATAATCAATATAAATGATTTAGGCCTTTATTGGGATGATGGTTTAATAGTAATGCGTAAAAAATCTGGTCCACAGCTTGATAAAATTAGAAAATATATTATAAAAATTTTTAAAAACATTGGCTTTCAAATTGAAATAAACATAAATTTAAAAATTGTGAACTTTCTTGATGTCACATTTAACCTCTCTCGGAAAACACATATAAGCCTTTCAAAAAACCAAACGATGAATTATTGTATATTAATATTAACTCAAATCATCCACCCCAAATTCTAAAACAAATCCCGATTTCAATTAATAACAGGCTTAACCAAAACTCCTCTAATAAAATGCATTCAATTCCTCCAAACAGATATTTGAAGATGACCTTAAAAAAAGTGGTTTTGAAAACTTTGAATTAAAATTTGACACTGAAAAAAAGAATACAAAAAAGCAAAATAGAACTAGAAATGTAATTTGGTTCAACCCCCCATATAGCAAAAATGTTTCCACAAACATAGGAAAAGTGTTTTTAAAATTAATCGAGAAGCATTTCCCGCCCTCTAATAAATTACATAAAATTTTTAATCAAAATGTAAACAAAAAAACAATTGTCCAATGAGTGGAAGTTGCTTATCAAAAAATGTGGAATATAAATGTGTTATCTCCTCTAAGAATGTACCTGATAAACAATATATTGGCATAATAGAAGGTGAATGGAAAAACGTTTTGCCAATCATAAGCAATCTTTTAAAATAAAAAGTATTATATAACAACATTTCCAAAAAATGCATACTATGTCTACAAGAAAAATTTGAAATAATTACACAAACCAAGAATGTTTGTTAAACAAAAAATCAGAATTGATTTCTAAATGCAGGCACGAAAATAAGTTTCTCCTAAAAAACTATAAAAATAAGTGAGCTCAAATAATAGTTACATTAACTCCCCTTTGAAAAAAAAAAAAAATATATATATATATATATATATATATATATATATATATATATATATATATATATATATATATATATATATATATATATATATATATATAAATATATATGTATATATATATATGGATATATATATCAGGCGCGGATGCAGCATTTTTTGATGTTTGAGATACCTAACTTCCAATCATGGAACAAACTCCAAAAATTTATATGTTTATACTTATATCAAATAAGGATGCTTTGCAAAAATTTGCAATGATTGGAGCCTGGGAACAAAATTTTAGCTACACTTGCCCCAAACGTGAGAGCAACAAGTTGATAAAATTTTTTTTTTCTATTATTCTCAACCAAGTATATATTTATCGATAAATTTAAAAACTTACGCAATAATCTATTAGCGTTTAACAATTATGGCTTTATAAAATTTGCAACCTCCTCAAATTGAAGAGGGTTCAAACATTTTATGGTCATAGTTTTTGAACGCTAAAAAATTTTTGTGCGAATTTTAAAATTTGTCGATAAATATAATATTAGTTAAGAATAGTATAAAAATTATTTTATCAGCATGCTGCTCTCACGTTTGGGGCAGGTATAGCTAAAATTTTAGGATTTTTTGTACCCAGGCTCCAATCATTGCAATTTTTTGCAAAGCATCCTTATTTGATATAAGTATAAACATATAAATTTTTGGAGTTTGTTCCATGACTGGAAGTTAGGTATCTCAAACATCAAAAAATGCTGCATCCGCGCCTGTATATATAAATATATATATATATTATTTTTTAAAAAAGCTTAAGTAATCATTTCTAAAGAATTCTTTTTACAATAGTGTCAGCAAATTACACAAATGTGTGAAAAATTGCAGTAGTTAAGACATGTGACTACCTGTAATTTAATTTTTGGTATAAATTGAAGTTTTATGTATATATATATATATTTGAATCCAAACAGTATATATATATATATATTTGAATCCAAACAGTATATATATATATATATTTGAGTCCAAACAGGAGAGCTCTTCCTGTTGTCGTATGAATATAAAATTTGTATTTATATTTATATATGAGAGGCAGAATATATATATATATATATATATATATATATATATATATATATATATATATATGTATATATGAGAGACAGAAATGTGTGTGCGCGTGTATATACATATATATATATATATATATATATATATATATATATATATATATATATATATATATATATATATATATATATATATATATATATATATATATATATATATATATATATATATATATATATATATATACATATATATATATATATATATATATATATATATATATATATATATATATATATAGAAAGAGAGAGAAACAATATCACATACCACGTGAGGTAATCTATACGCAGCATGTAAACACTCAATTTCTCTGGTTAAAAATTTGCTGACATAATCTTTAGGAAGATTTTTTCTTTTTATGACTTTGATAGCCACCTTAAAAAAAATTAAATTAAATTATATATATATATTATATATATATATATATATATATATATATATATATATATATATATATATATATATATATATATATATATATTTATTTATTTATATATTTACAGTGCTGATCATAAGTTTAGAGCCACCTGTTTTTTTCATCATTTTTTGGCATAAGAATGGTGAGGTTAAAATACATGCAATATGTGTGTGTGTGCACGCGCGTTTTTTATAAGTATGTAACTAAGAAAATTAATTTATTATTATTTTACTTAAGGTCTTATGTAAAATATATTTTACATAAGACCTTAAGTAAAATAATAATAAATTAATTTTCTTAGTTACATACTTATAAAAAACGCGCGTGCACACACACACACACACATACACACACTTACACTTTATTACTTTGTAAAGTCAAAAGTGCGCTGACAAGGTTGTGGCGAGTGAGATTCAAGTCTTAAAAGCACTTTTTTAAACATGGTGACAGAATTTATGACATTTAATATTTTATTTAATAATAAACTAAAATCAAACAAAAGCGAAATCCTTCTATTCTCTTACCTTCATCTAAATTATCTTATTGCCTGTTGACTTTCGTCAAAGAGGTCGTCACGCAGTTTTTGACTTTTTTTGACCCCCCTTCCTTCCTTCCCACTTTGTAACGCATCCGTAACACTTTATTGACCCCCCCTTATATTGCGCAGCAATTTTGTACATTACCCCCCCCCCTCCTTCCGTAAAAATTTGTTAAATATTTTTTAGCGGAATCGTACAAAATTTTACAAAATACAAAACAATTATTTTAAATATAATAATATCTATAATTATCTGAGCTTTTTTGAGTTAATTAATTAGTACTTTTCAGTCTGTTTAATGCTTTTTTTCATCCCAATAGTTCCGTGTAAAGTTGTATAAATTAACATCGCTATCCTAAATATATATTTTGCATGTATTATCATATATATATCATATATGTGTATTATCATATATATATCATATATATAATATTTTGCATGTATTACAATACATGCAAAATATTATATATATGATATATAATACATAATAATACAATATAATTTTGTAATAATATTGTAGATACAAATTTGTTTTTTACAATTACAAATACTATTGTAGAAACAAATATGTTATTTTATAAATATAATTTTCTCTTAACTTGTAATGTTAGGGTGGTCTAGACCACGCTAACGTTACAAGTTAAGCCTGAAGCCCTCACTTTCCTAAGGAAACCGAGGGCTCCAGCCTCGTCTCTCGGTATCAACGTTTGTTTTTCGTCTAGTTAATGCACATAGGTTGTTTTTTAGTTATTGCACACTTTTTTGCACTAACTAAAAAAAATTCTTACCATATATGGTCAAAGCGCAGAACGTGCACTGCCCACAGACTGTTACAGCTGTAACAGCCCGTTAACAGGCTGTAACTACTCCGTTAACGGAATGTACACATCGACTAAGTGAGATTTAGGCGTAGTTTTTTTTTACAATCAACATGTCGATACATCAAATGAGGGTTTTGGCTTGGTCAGACTCTTTTAATTAAAAGAAAGTCTTCTCTAGATATAAAACTAAAAAAATAAAAAAATGTTGCGTCAAAAAATTGAGACCCCCTCTCCCCCTCGAAACAAATCGTCACAAAATTGCCTACAAATAAAGCCCCTACCCCCTAAAGCGTGACGTAATTTATGGTCGACCCCAAAAGTGACTTTCCACTTGTCCAGAGAAAGAAAATGTAAAAAAAAATTACGTAAGCATACGTGAAAAAATTGAAACTTATACTCTGCATGTTTTCGATATTATTATTCCACTCCCGTTAACGTAGAAAAAAGCAGACTAGCAGATAGTCACCAAGCAAAAAAAAAGGTTTTGTTTTTAGAGTGAAAATCACCTTATTAGTTCCATTGTCTTTTAACTCTTCCGCTAATCTTTTATCATTTTCAAGTTTCTCGTTTGATACGTAGGCTAGCTTAACTTTAGCGTAAGCGCCAGTACCAAGGCATTTTTTTGTTACGTTAAATCCTCTTCGCTCACAGTCAAACTCTTCTGTTGATTTAATCAATTTTTGACTCATTAGTAACTATGCTAAAAATGTGCAAGTATTGGTTAAAAGCATTTTATCTATCCTTTAACCTTTTTAACATGACTTTTTTTTTTTAATTTCTGCTCTTACGTCAAATTAACTTTTTTACGTCACAAATGATAAAATGCCTACGTCTAGTATGAAATGTTTATGTAGACAAAACGTTAATGACACGTAATGATTGAGGTAATCAATGACATATGCTGCACTAATTTTTATAAAAAATATTTGATTTAGAGTAGAGGTTTTTTACATAATTTTTTCTACTTATTTATTGAATATTGCGTTTCAAAAATATTTTATGTATCGCCTGCGCTTGTTTTTCTTTTTTTATTTCATTTTTCAAATGAAATATGCAAATTTTGCGAATAAAATGTACATCTATAATTTTAGGTTCCTCTATACCTATCTATAGTTTTAGGTTCCTCTTATTAATATTGAAACAAAATAATGAATGAAATAAAACATTAATATGCTTTGATTTGAATATATTTTTATAAATATATTCAAATCATAATCAAATATTATCTCATTAAATTTTTTAGTGACACCTCAAATTATATCGAAATCTTTTATTAGCGTTTTAAATATTATGGATTTTGAAATAATTATTATTACAGAGTCACAAATTACAAACAAGATTAAAACTCTAAATCGACTAAGAATAAAATTCAAAATCTGTTGATGAAATTTAATCTAGCCAAACGCAATAAAAAGTATAAAAAAATTAGGAGCCCTAGAAAAAGATTAACTATGTTGGTTTAGAGTATGATTACATTGGGCTTGTAATACAATAAAAATTTAATTATGCTCCATACCTAAAAGTTAATTGAACAACAAATAATCTTGAGGCTTCTAAAATGTTTGATTTTTCCTGATCCCTGGCGAATTAAAAAAAAAAATTTATTTGTTTTATGCGACGCCAGCAGGCTTTAGTGGTACGTTTTAAATTTATATATATATATATATATATATATATATATATATATATATATATATATATATATATATATATATATATATATATATATATATATATATATATATATATACATATGTATATATATATATATTTATATATATATATATATATATATATATAATATATATATATATATATATATATATATATATATATATATATATATATATATGTATATATATATATATATATAGTATATATATATATATAGTATATATATGTATATATATATAGTATATATATATAATATAAATATATATATATATAATATATATATATATATATATATATATATATATATATATATATACATATATATTTATTCAAGATTTATTCAAAATAAATTTTTATTTTGAATAAATCTTGAATAAATATATATGTATAAGATTTATACAAAATAAGTTTGTAAATATTTGTGTATTTTTAGGAATAGGCAGAGACTGACACACTGGGCAAAATTCAGATTGTAATTTAATATATGGGTATGTTGAAATCTTGCAATAATTTATTTAATAGTGCAAAGGTAGAATTTTTTTTAAGAAGCTTTACTAGAAACAGTCTTTGAAATAAGTTTGTACATTAATATTTAAGGAGTTTATAAAAAACAGTTTAAATCAAAAATAAAAAGTCGAAAGCTAAGTAGTTTCTTTTGACATCAAAACATGGGTTTCCGAATCAAAGTTGCGAGGTAACCTTCACGATTTTTTTCTGCGGAGAGTCGCAGAAAATCAAGCAGGTCATCGAAAACCGTTCGTAAATTACAAACCTCACGAAATTCCATTCATAGATTCATAATATACATAAATACATAAAATAATTTAGAAAAATTATTAAATGTTAAAAATTTTAAAATATATCATAAAGAGATAAAACGATTTCTTTAGGCTCATTCATCAGTCAACTCTATTCAAAAAATGTTCAAAATGTTTTAAAACTATTTTGTTCCAAAAAGAAGCTCTACGAAATAAAAAGCCTTATTTTCCAAAATTTCTTTTAAAATATGATTGCTGAATTAAACTTTTATTTCTTAAATTGTATTTATTTTAATCTAATTAATTTTAATGTATATAAATTATGGAAAGAAACGGGGAAAGTGATAGTTTTGCTTTGTACAAAAAACTAAGTATTTTAAAAATATTGAGCTGATATATATTAGGAATTTTCATTTCAATAAAAGAGGTTTAGCATAAGTAAATCTAATTTCAAATTTGATAAGACAAGAAACATGCTTTGTTGACGATAAAAAGGCTCCAGTTTAGATTTAAGGAATTACAATATTTGCATAGTTTAAACGACGATGGATAAATGAGAAATATAATTGAGCATGGACTTCTATAGTTACACAATTTTGTAGGTTTTTACGACGTTAATTTAAGATCCGAGGTCAGATTTTTAACAAAATTATTGGATTTTTTTCAGAATATGCTTAAATAATAAAAAAAGTTAATAAAAACAAAACAAGCGAAACCGGATTTGTTTTTTAAAACGTGGAAAAAAAAAGCTTAAAATACTTTTAAATAAAAAGTTGAAACTTTTTATTTAAAAGTACTTTAAAACGTTAAAAAATGCAATATCACTATTAAAATGTTAATCACACATTAAAATTATTTTACTTCCACAATTTAGGAACTTTCTGGCAACATATCTGATATTATAAGCCTTTAAAAATAATTTTTTTCAAGCCAAATCTAGTTTAGCATAGCTATGTGATAAATGTAATACAAGATTTTTTCCAGGTAACGGAAGCCCCTTCCTTCCTCTAAAGAGCAAATTTGCATACTTAGTGCGAGGTAAATTTCCAAAGATTTAATAAACTTTTTTTTTTAACATTATATTTTGTCGTCTAAGAAATGTTACAACCTACATTAATTTAAAAATAAAATTAATGACCGAAGCAAGAAAAAGACATTTTTGTCTTATCGCCGAGCACCGTTTTACAATATATATTTTTTCCAAGAGTATAAAGTATAAACTAAGAAATAAGATAGATAAATACAAAAATATTAAAATAAGATCGTCATAATTAAAAGTATTACCATAAATAAATTAGATAAAACAAAAAACAAATAAAAAAAACAAACAAACAAAACAAAGTAAAACAAAACATAGTATTAAAATATGCGATTAATGATAATAATTAATGTCAGTAATTATTTAATTTAGTACTAAATTAAAAACACAACATTAACTAAAATTAAAAGTTAATTAACTTACAGGGTAATTAAATTTAAGATTAACTTAAATTAGTTACATTCTTTGATGTTTTATTTTTGATGGTTTTATTTTATCGATATATTTTAAAAGAAACAAGATAATTCAACATCTGTTTGTAATAAACACCGGCAACAACGTTTGGAAAACTTTTCCACAAAAATGGCCCGCGATTCTGAATTGAATAAGAACTCAGTTTTGAATAAGATTTTGGTACAACAAAGTTGTTTTTGAAAAATCTACAATACTAAGTATAAACTTTAACACTAAAGCATAAACTTTAACAGTAAACCATAAACTTTAATAGTAAAGAATTGAGCAGCCGTGGTGCAGTTGTTAGAGTTCTGGCTCAGAACCCAGAGGTCCCGGGTTCGACGCCGGCTCCAGCCCAATAAGCGACATTGGGAAGGAAGGAGGCGTGAACTTCTTCTTTTCCTTCGTCTAAGAGTAATTTAATAGCTTTTAAGGACTTAATACCTCCAGCTGCTAGTTTTTTTTAAAAACAAACAATGGAGGAACAATTTTACTTGTTAGAGAATGTGTGCTTGCTTTGAAGTGCAGAATCACAATAATGAAAAACGAAGAACTTCAGTTACATATAGTTTTCTACCTTTTGGTTAAAAGTATTGCATACTATGAATATTATCTAAAATAAACTTTGATTTTTCTGCAAAAATATAAAATGATAAAAATATGAACTACAAAAATATAACACATGCAGATACATTTTTACTGGTGAAAATATGCCATGGAGGAAAATCAATCAAACAAAAGTTTTCTATGATTAAAAGTAAACATTTTAAAACATTAAACCACCTTTAACTAAGAAGTTATAATTTAAAGACTAGAAACGATTAGTTAACTAATTTTAGTTTTTAAATAAAACCCACAATTACTTTTATAGCATGTTACTACAGAAGTAACAAGAATATTACTTCACTCGTGAAAATTCAATTCATTGTAAAAAATTTATATCAAATAAAAATTGACTATAGTCAATTTTTATTTGTTATAAATCTTCTGCAATAAATTGACTTTTATTATGTGTTTGTAAAGAATGATTGGTTAGACCATATTACTATAGAAACTGATTGATTAGACCTTGTTACTATACCTACAATCAGTCTTTACGAACACACAAAAACAATGATCCCAACTCTTTTTTTACTTCTTGATTTTCAATTTACAAATATATCATTTATTTGAAAATTGAAAACAAATTCGAAAATTGTTATATGTAATATTTATTTTTTCTTGTGTGATTGAAAAGATTTGACACTAAAATTAGAAAATTCTTTCAGAGGAGTAAAACTCTATTTCCACTTTGCGACGCATGCGCAATTATTAACGTAATAGGCGGCAGTTAGTCATGTGATAGATCCTACCTTACCAGATAAATATTGCATAAGATATTCGTCCGGTCGCCAGACGTGCAGACACTACTAAGTAAAAATTATATTGCAAAAATAATAGAAAACATAAACCAACTTTTCAAATGTTAAACTATACCCTGAAGCTGATATTTTATTTTTTTGATTGCAAGAGTTTCCGGCTTTTCAACACAATGACTCAGTAATACTATATATATAAATATGATATAATATATATATATAAAACGTATATAATATATATAACGTATATAATATATATGTATACTATATATATATATATATATATATATATATATATATATATATATATATATATATATTTTTTTTTTTTTTTTTTTTTTTAACATCTTTACTTCCAACAAGGCTGCAAGCAACCACTATAAGAGTTGGAAGTTACTGGAAGAGAAAAGACTAAATCTGTAGAGCAAGATAACGATTGACTGATGACTTAAAAGATTGCAAATTATATGAATCAGGAAAGCAAGATGAAGGAAGCGAATTCCAAAGAACTGATGTTCGAGGAAAAAACTAGAAGAATAAGAGTTTTTGAAGCACTTAGGAACAGTCACAGAAAAAGGATGAGACTTAATTGAATGGCGAGTAACACGAGAGTGAATTTTAGTAGATGGCACAAGGGACGCTAGCTCTTTGGAGCAGTGCCCATTATAGTATTTGTAGAAAAGAGAAAGAGAAGCAACATTACGACGATGTGACAAAGGTTGGAGACTGGCTGCCAGAGCAGGTCCAACTATGTTTACAATTCGTTTTTGCACCTTGTCTAAAAGAGAAAGAGCACCATTAGAAGATCCGCCCAGATGTGGCAACAGTATTCCATACAGGACGGATTTGAGATTTATAGAGATAGAGAATAGAATCTGGAGTAAGAAAGTGTCGAGCTCGATAAAGAGATGCAACCTTAGCAGATGCTAATTTTGCAATGGATTTGATATACGGTTTAAAAGAAAGATCAGAAGTAAGAGTTAATCCTAGAAGATGAATGGTAGATGACTCATCTAGTACATTACCATTCATAAATATAGGAAGATCTAAATTATTACGATAACGATTGGCCGAATAAAATTGAGTTTTATCTGAATAAAGTTCACCAGCCACTGTGAGCCCCATGCTGTAGCAGAAGTGAGATCCTTTTCAAGCTCAGATACCCCCTCCAAGCAATCAGAGAGTGTAGGCTTCTTATCATGACAAGAGTAAATGGTAGTGTTGTCAGCGAATAATGCACCTTAGATGTGAGAATATCTGGAAGATCGTTAATGTAAATTAAAAAGAGTATAGGGCCAAGGATTGAACCTTGAGGAACCCCTGAAGTTACAGGATGTGAAGAAGAGTGTTGTCCATCGAGGACAACTTTTATACTACGATTGGAAAGAAAGGACTCAATAATCTTAAAGACGTTACCAGCTACACCATAAGAAGAAAGCTTATGGAGAAGACCAGCATGCCAAACTTTATCAAAAGCTTTAGAAATGTCAAGTGCGATAGCCTTAACCTCTCCACCCTCTATCTAATGCACGGTAAAACCTATCGGTTATTACTGTTAGCACATCAGCTGTAGAACGAGAAGACCGAAATCCATATTGATGATCAGAAAGTAAGTTATTTGATTCAAGATGAGAGATTAAGTGTTTGTTGATTAAAGATTCAAAAACCTTGCTTATGACAGGAAGAAGACTAATGGGACGGTAGTTAGATGAATCAGATCGCTCTCCGGAATTTTTGAAAATAGGGATAACAGATGCTGCTTTCCAGCATGATGGAAAACAAGATTATGATAAGCACTTGTTAAATAGTTTAGAAAGTATGGATGAAAGCTCCGGAGAACACCTCTGCAAAACTACAACAGGAATGTTGTCAGGACCACA